CCGGGGACCAGGGGGGGCCCCGCTGCTAGCTGGCGCCGCGCCCCCGCTCCTCTGAGGTAGGCCCCGGGCCTCTCACCGCCTCATAGGGGTAAACTCCCTCAGCCACTCCCTCCCTCTCGCGCTCCCCCCCCTCCCCCCCCCCCCAGCGCTGCCGCCTCCGCCGCTGCCGCCTCTTGCTCCTCCGCCGCCTCCGCCTCCTCCCGCGCCGCTCCCTCTGCGCAGGCGTCGCCCGCCTAGGCCCCGCCCCTTCCTCTCCAGGAGACCCGCCCCTCAGTGGCGTCACAACCCCGTGACGTCCCCCGCGTGACTTCACCGCGGTGGAGTGAGGGGGCAGGGAGTGAACAGGAAGAAAGGCAACGCGGGGTAGCGGCGGGTAACTCCTGGCCTGACCTTCTTCATGCTCCGCCCCCACCCTCAAGGGGCGGGGTTAAAGCTCGGGGGTTCGGGGAGTAGGTCGGGGTTCTTCGCCTAGGACAACTCCACCATTTTGCAGAGAGAACTGAAGTCTGGAGAAGAGAGGAGAGTATGGCAAGGTCAAGTACGAAAGTGCACCCCCGGACTCAGTTTTCCCAACTGGAGGTTTGCCCCTCGCACTGGAAAGACAAGTTTGCGTAAGTTTCCACAGCTGCTTTCCCAGAGGGATACTGCCGAAATCCTTATTTCCAAACCCCCCTCGGTGGTGATTTATTACAGTTTATCAGTGCTGTTTCTGTTATGCAACGGTAGTAACAAGTCTCGTGGAAGTAAAGGAGGCCTTGATACAAAACAAACATCAATCATAGGTTCAGACGAACGCCACATATAATCTCCCACTGCGTCAAGACCAACTCTCTCAAAATAAAGATTACATCACGAAGAATTGGCATGCCTTGTTCTGTTTTTAAAATAGAAGGTAAAGTGTTCCTGTATATATGGTGCACTTACCTGGTCAAGGCCCCATTTAAAGATCAAAGAATGAGAAAAGCATGGAGACCTCATTTGTCTACCCCTTTACATTCCTTCATTCTGAAGTGCTTTTAAACGACGATTTGCCACACACTCTGCTACATCCAAAGGGAAAAAAGATAAGTAGGAAATGGTCCGCCTTTAAACAGCTCTTTTACAAATAAAATGATATCCAGAAAGCTTATATACCTTGTCCAAAAATACTGAGCAACAAAACTAGAACTCTCAGATTCCTAAGGGGAGTATGTTTTCCATAGCAATTTCAACAGCAGACAAGAGCTAGAATAATTGACTGTTAATGTCTAGGGTGCTAGGAGGTTTCAGAAAGGGGAAATATTTTATCTCCTTCTGTCCCACTACCAAATAAGAGTTTACAAAACAATGGCTTTCAAAGCCTGAGTTTTGGGGTCACACACATTTGGGATTCAAATTCTCATTCTACCAATTATTGGTAATCATAGTGCTTGCACACATAGGATTATTGTGAGGATTAGATGAGGTATGTATATCTGAGCTCAGTACTGTGCCTGCTCTGTAAGAAGCACTCAGGAAATGGTAACTTTTATGGCCATAAATATGAGGGGATGGCTGTGGGTTTAAACAGTGATACAAGTAGGCAGAAATTACTTCTTCCCTTGGCCCCTCTTCTACTTTCATGTCTTTTACTAAAATATAATACATATCCCCCTTTTTCTTTTCCTATTAAAGGACTGCCCTTTCTCCAGTGACTCCCCACCCCCAATGTGCCTATCTTATGGGAGACAGATACCTTTAATGGCATACGGTAATAATACCTAAAAACTCATACTGTACAGTAGTTATAATAGCATACGATAATATAAGCTCATACTGTACAGTAATAAACATTCTATAAGAAACTATTCTTCAGCCTCTGGGATCTGTGTGAAAGCTTAGATTATTGTCAGGGCCTCCTTTGGGGTGATTACAATGTTGGAATATTTCACTAACATTAAGGAAAATTCAGTCTCCCTCAGTGGTGAGCATATATTGTCCCAGTCTTATGGATGATGGACTGGGGACACAGGAAGATTATAAAAATCATAATATTAGAGCTGAAAGAACTGAGACCGTCTAGTCCAACCACCCCTTTTTCCAGATGAAATTGAAACCAAGAGAGGGGAAATTGATTCACCCAAGACCGCAAGCTAGTAAGGGGTTCCAAACTTCCAGTCTAGCTTTCCACCCACTATATCCTGCTACAATTCCCTTTATCCTATGAGTTCAATTTGGCCTTACATACAAAATAATCAGAAATTTTAACCCAAGTACTGGTTTGATGTTAGACCATAGACTTTCTAGGAAGTGTTTTAACTTGCAACATATGTGGATTAAAGTTGTATTGATCAAGGATTCAAAAGAAGCAAATGTTATTAGAACCTGACAACTCCATTAGAATGCTGACCTGAGGGAAACTAAAAACTCTTGGCCAAATACTAGGGTCTTAGCTCACACCTAAGCCCACATATTGCAAAGAGATCCATGCAAATAAGACACCTGAATGGCTCAGAACTACAGTTCATGATAGGAGTTATCTCAAAGGAGTGCAACTACTACTCAAGTGAATTCTGAAACTCATAAGATTGGCGTGGTACCCTGGTTGTTAATTCTCTGAGGACCAAGGATGCTAAACATCTTCAATTCTTGGTACAGTTATGTACAATAAAGAGCTACTGTGCAGAAACATTGACCAAGGTGGCTGGTATATTAGATATGAAGGAAGAACCACCACTACTGCCATCCCTATGGAATAGTTCTCTTGTGGAGATGGGATATGCAATGGAGGAAATGAGGTGTTACCCAATCAGGAGACTCCCAGGAATATGAATTTCCACTTGAGTCTGAGGAGTTATTAACAAAACCTATGGTTCTGCCCTGATAGCTCTACAGTTTTGTTCTATTTTGTTAGGAAGAGGGCCTGGAGAAGGAGGACTGGTTGAGAAACAAATGAACAAATTGCTGAACCCCACCTTAAGGAAGGAAAGCTGATAACGGTATTCCAAAAGGGCTTCTAGGTACCATCTCAGAATTATTTCAGGGACTATGCTTAGATATGTCACTGCCTGGTATATGCCCAAGACTAGTCAGTTTCTTTCTGAATTTCTTAGGCTGGTAATCTTGTGTAAGAAATTTAATTACAGATCCTAAGACCGGGCCAGTTAAGTGGGTTAAGCCATTCTATTATTCAGAAGTTGAATGCCTAGGAGAAAAGTGATTCATCTCATCAGGACAGTCTAGATTGCCTCAAGATCTCCAAGTCCTTAAGATTCAGAATTGCCAAGGCCAGCTAATACTATGATTATGCCACAGCATAACTGATTCAGAGAACAGAGGGTCCAAATAGATGTTAAGTTTCATTATATGATAATATTAACTTGTAGTGAAACCTTTTAGATGTACATCCAAACTGTGATGACCTCCTCATTTCTCTGTGAACCATTAACAACCCTCTAAGTAGCGCTCGGCAGCCATATCGGGATAAGAGGGAGATGCTTGACCCAAGATCAGCCAATCAGATTCTCTCAGGAATTTGGAATTGGAATTCAGTGAGTTGATGCAATGGGCCTAGGCTGTTTACTTGAAAGGGAGTGATAGAAAAGAAGAGATCACTTATGAAGCATCCATGAAAAGGAGATATTACCTATCTGCAGAAAGAAAACCATGAAGCAGAGAGAAGCAAAGATGAGAGACCTAAAGTCATGAGAGAGAGGTTCCTGTCATCGTGAGTCTTGGTTGGTCAGTTTCCCTTAGATTCCATAAGATTCTCCAGGTTCCATTCAAAATACATTATCTCCTGGATGGAGTTTTAAAAAAAAAATCAAATCAAAAAAGCAAAAAAAAAATAAAAAAAATTAGAAGAAAATAAAGTGAATATTTGATTTCTAGGTGGAGATGAACATTCTACCCTTGAAAATAATGGAAGCCACTATAGAAAAAAAAAAAAAAGGAGGTAACAGTTCTGAAAGAAGAAATATAAATGGCCAGTATACATATTAGAATGTATTATGTCACTCATAGTTAAAGAAATGTATTAAAAAAAATAAAGTATCGCTTTTGCCTAATCAGATTGGCAAAGCTTTAAAAAGACTGATAATAGCTGTTAGGGGCTAGAGTGTGGGGAAACAGGTACTCTCAAACACCACTGCTTCTGGGAATGTAAATTGATATAAATTTTCCTAAAGGTGAGTACATGTGAATTTAGATGAATTGGTATGAGAAACCTATAAAATATTCATATACCATATTCCAAAAACCTTAGGTTTATAAATAAGCTTTCCATAGAGGTATATAATACATGTAATAATGAAAAGTTGAAATTAGCCCAGATATTTGTGAATAGGGAAACTCTTGGAAAAAAGAAGAAAGTGGGTAGGGGTGGACAAAACTCTTACCTTCACTCTTTTCACCAGTATAATTTTACATTAATCTATGACCAAAAAAAGTAAAGAACTGGAAAGAAAACAATGAATTTTTTTATTATTATATTTTTTAAATTTATTTTTCATGGTGACTGGTTAAGGAAATCCGATAAGTTTCAGCTGTACGTTTTAACAGTAAGGCATACATATATTTACATTGTGTGTTCACTTCCCATCATTAGATTTCTTTTTTTCCCTTTTCTTCATCATTATTGAAATATAATAGACAACTAGTTGCCTGCATTTACATTGTACAATTCAATGATTTTTTTTCAATTATAGTTAGTATACAACACATTAGCCTCAGCTGTACAGCGTATTGATCAGAGATCCACACAACTCGCAAAGCGCTCACCCCACCAAATCTAGCACCCTTCCTTCACCCCACATATTCATTCCAACATTATTAACCATCTTCTCCATGCTATACTCTACATCCCCATGTCTACTCTGCAAACATCCACCTGAACCTCTCCATCCCTTTGACTTCTTTCCTCCGCAAACCCCCTCCCATCTAAATATTCCGTGTATCTATGAGTTTGTTTTAGCTTTTGTTGTTATTGTTGATTTCGTTCTTTAGAT